TTGTGAATTTGTACGAACTATTTAATAGTTCGTACAAATTCCCTTGACCCCAGGAACGAGTGACCCATTCATGGGCTGAATCCGAACGTCCGTCATGTTGACGTTCGACCTTGTGTGCCGTGTCCCCGGCGAGGCATGAGTGAACCAAAGGTTGCGAGAGTAATCTCGGATTCGAGACGAATCTAGATTTCGGAACGAAATCGGGACGAGTCAGATATTCCAGAAAGGATGTTGGAAAATGACCCCACCTAGTTTAGTCTCCTTTTTCTCTCCCGAAATACGCCGGAGCAGAGAAGGAAGGAAAATATTTGAGACCATCCCACCCGCCCTACACAATGCTTACTCATATTCATGAACTTACTGATCATTCAAACACTTTGGGCCTGGGCACACCCAGCCCAAAGGGTTACTTGTGGCGAGGCCCTCCTGCCGGCGCAGGAGGCCTCACCCAACCAAATCCAATCCTTACATTGAATGATCTGGGTATTGGATAAGAACTTACTCACGACTTACGGAACATATTCTTCGCCTCTGGAGTCTTCGCCGCGGGGATTCCAGGGGCAGCACGGACATATGTGAATTTTTCCGTTTTCGTTCGTGTCTATTTTCACCTGTCGGTAGCTCCCAAACCGCAACCTTTGTTTCCAACTCGACCTCGTATTGAAAAAACTCAAACGACGTCTTCCTTGGGTATTTGAAGAACAAGCGCACAATAATGTGGAACACCAGCTATACACCGCAGAGCCACTGAAAGTGCAGGGGTGGTTTTCTGCTCCTCCTATGGCACTCATCGTTCGCAATTCAGCGAGGGTCGTCGATTCGCGTGTATCGTTGTTTAGCTACTATCACCAGAGGCCAACGAGGCGTTATTGCGATAAGGAGGAACGACGGAAACGGCAAGAATTGATGAAGACAGGTCGTCGCTAGCCGTACGGGTTGCCCGGCGGCAACCTAGACGCGTGGGGGCGTCACCGTGGTACGTGGTCGCATGTGGGGTACCTCTCACCTTGAGGACATCGTAGGGCCCGGTCGCCACTTACTGATGGTATTCCGTGAAGCCCTTGAGGACTTCCCTTGGGTGCATCGCGATCACCGCGGATGTGGCGACCTCATTGCGCCCATAGTACAGCGATACCTGGAAATTGGGAGAATCGAAACAATTGGGGTAGAGGGTGTCGTCTCATACGAGGGTAGAAGTTCAAAGAGGTGTCGAACCTGGATTGCATTCAGTCGGATTGTGACGTGGATGCACCCAAGGCAGCCAAACGAGGCGAGGTCAACGTTTCCAACGATAGGAAGGAGGGGGCGTATGTTCATGTCGCGACGGCATGTACGCTAAAATCAAGTCCAATATCTGACGACGACATCCTGTGAGTATATAATAAACATGATATCTAGTCGACCCCACAACGGCCGGACGCTGTACGATGTGAAAGTGCGGACGTGCTGGCTTTCCGCACAAACTGGCAATTTCGTCCTATGTAGTGGTGTAGCCGACTCCACGATTTTCGTTTACCCACGGCCCTCCATTACGACTCATTCAACGCTCCCGGTTGGCAGCCTGAGTGGACGGTGCCACAAGATTAGCCTGTAGCCGACCACGAGTCAAAGGACTACACATGGCGCAAGACGTCACCAGTGGTGACGAGTTGAGTAATCCTTCCATTAATGGTCGGCCCCAGGCTCATCCGGTGGCACCGTCCACTCAGGCTGCGAACCGGGAGCGTTGAATGAGTCGCGGGGGAGCAGCAGGGGAGAGAACGGGTGGTGGAAAGACAACCACTAGGATTTTGTCTCAAGTGGAGTATTGCGCGCGCGCGCGCGGCCAGAGTTTGGGCTTACCTCCTCTTCCTCCTCCGTCATCACCCCCCCTTCAAAACAACTCTTATCCCATTGTGTCGAAGAACGAGATCTGCTACACACGGCAAGCCTCTCTTCGCCCTCGTTCTCGAACATATCGAAGCCTACCTGGAATCCTCTTTCCTTGGGCCCAGCGCCCGTGCCGGCGTGGCCCTGCCCAATACCAGGTGCGCAGGGAGGTATACATAAGGCCGAGGGGAATGGACTGTGGGCCGTGTGTTCGACACTGATGGTGGACTTGTTTTGTCCAAGGGTCATCGAAAGTGACACATGCTCCCCTTGGGGGTATTATTGACAAACCACATGGGGAAACTCTTGGCGCAGTTTGCGTGAAATTGTGGTGTCGCCATGTGCTGAGACCAAGGACATGCATATATAGATGGCATGACACAACATAAGCAGCTGTATCCGGGCCAGCTCAGATCGGACCGAGGGGGCATGACAGACAGGTCAATATGCTCCATCGAAACATGCGAGAAAAACCACAACAGCAACACGTATTCCAAGTGAACCGCACGCCTGTAACGGAAGCATACCTAGGGTCACCGGCGGGGCCGGTGGAGCGGGCGACGCTGCCATCCCTTGTGTCTCCGTCGGTTGAAGCGATACTGGCATCTCCAACCGAACCAGCCTCTTGCCGCACCCCATCCCGACTCAACCCCTAGACATACTGCTCGTACTGAGCTTGCTTGGCCTCGGGATCGGCCTCGAGGCCGCTCCTGGAGGCCGCTCCCGAAGCCGTTTAAGCTCAATGTGAGCAGTACGTCCAGGAGTTGAATCGGGGTGGTCTGGAAGCAGGAGGCTGGCAAGGAAAGCCCAGTACGACCAGCACGTGGAGGAGCTGAGTCGGGATGGCCTGCAGCAAGAGGCTGGTTCCATTGGCGAGAAGATGCATACAAAATGTATCGGGCTGATGGGACGTCTGGGGATACGAACGGCACATAGACAAAACTGGCTTAACCTTCGGATCATAACCAAGGTCATCCAGGGCTAACATAACCGTTCCGTGGATCCCGACATCATGTATATCATACGCGACCTCGAATGTACGCGTTTATCAATCACCACGCGGTGTTAAGTGGGCCTGGGAGCGTCTCTGACGTTCCCTCCTCTTACCATCAAGGACAGAAAGCCAACATCATTCCGCCACGTTCCAAAACATTCCGCTGGGTAACCTCGTGTTCAAATCCATGTCATATCTATAAATGGATAAAGAGTGTCCAGGACAGTGTAACATGACCATCCTCTGTTTCTACCACAGCCTTCCGGACAACATGCAGTGGTATATCTCCTCTGTACGTAACAGCCTAAAAAAGGCAGCCGAATGTCTGACACACAACATTGTTGAGCTTTGGATGTGAAACGATTAATCCGTCAATGTAAATCCTCTAGAGCTGCCTATCTTTCGTCCGTCGTCGGTTCCATGCTACTGACATGTGTGGACCATCCTGTCATCACTCTCGTCGGGTATGCCGGGCCCAGAGCGTTCAGCTATTCAAACACAAAGAGGGAATAAACAAGAGCGCCTTCGACACCCCACCAGGGACATTGCCAAAGAAGCATGTGTTCCTCGCAACACAAACTCACAAACTGAGAAGACGTCCCAGGCTATTGACAACGAGGGCAACTCCGAATGCTACCATCATGTACGAAAGACCACCTCGAATAAGAACGAAGCTCCGCGTGAGCAATTTTGGTCGTTTCCTCTTGCATATTTGACACATAGTCCAGACCTTGATGTAATGATCCTCGAATGAATGCCTGACTCATTATATTCAACTATTATATATGTCGTGAAATGATTCCATGGATGCCCATACAATCCAACGAAAACGATACCTTCGTATGTACGAAAAGTCCCACATTTTGCACGGTCGACATGAGAAAGGAAAGGCTGAATCCATTTCGCCACAATCCTGTGGTGGCCTTGCTCCTGTGTAACCCCGGCTGTTGCGTCCCGACAATGTAACGAAAAAGAACGACGTCCAGATTATATGGGTTGGCATAATGTTTCTGTTTTCGCTTCACCTTCCCACAATACGACCACCAGAAATGATGCAAGGCGGCCTTGAATTGAATGAAATTCCACCGGGACTAGATGGCCATTTTCCCTTTGCACATTTCACAAATTTTACGGACTTGTTTGTCTCAACTCTGGGTGAACACGTTCTATATTTTGTTTAATCAATTTGCGGAACGTCGCCTAGTCGAGGTTTACTTGACACAGTGCTTACAACGGTCGCTGGAAGTGAAAACACCAAAAAATCAAGTAAGTCACATGCAGCTGTCATCCGTACGCAAGGAAGTATGCACAACATGCCGAACGCCCTTAGCAGGATGCAGCTAACCCTTCATGCGACTCGCCGAATACCTCACGGTGCTTCGACCTTGGTGATGTGAGAGTCGGGTCCGGTGAAAACCCGGCGTGCTCCATCCCGGCTTGTAGGGATGCAAGGTCAATATACGGCATGCACGACTATGAGTACACCCCCCCCTCCTACGCCACACATTTCAATCTCTCACGTATTTCGTCGTGTTCAATATTGTTCATTCTTCTGCCGTCTTCAAGTTCACACTATTTCATAACACGAGTGCTACCATCTTCATGTGTGTTACAGATTGTTTGTTCCATCTACAACATCACACGTTTGTCCATGATGGCCTTAACACAAGACTACTAACGCATCAAAGAATCAACAAAATTAATACGAGAGGTTTGCCGCCAACCTGGTCGACAACGTTTTCACTGCGTTCATCAACCGCTAGACAAGTGAGTCAAACAATACAGTTCCAACGCCTTCCTGCTTCGCCCTTTCGTCGACGGAGGTAGAATGTATTTCTGCAGCAATCGTTAGACCGAGAGTGCCTGTCGGATCGGACTTATCGCGTTCTAAGAAAATGAGATGGCCTCTCTCGAAAAACAAAACAACCACAGGGGTGAAAAACAGGCTCTTGCTCTTGTGCGATAGTAGACTCACTCGTCGTCGGACACCATGAGCTTCATTGCGCTTCTGATTCCGCATTCCATTCTTCCAGGGCTCGCCGCTACCCGGTCTCCGATCTCTTCCAACGACGAGGATATCGACAGCTCATCATCTAGCGGCAAACACAACAAATGCTCCCCACCACTCGATCGAGTGACTCTTGCATCCATCCGGGGACTATTCCTGCCATCTACCACACCAGGGGTTACCACCCTCCTAAAACGTTTCCAAAATGTTTCGGCAGGTCTTTCATTTGTTGTTCATATAATCTATTTGCTAGCATGGCGAAGGTAGTGGCCCTATTTCTTTTGGGTCTCTTATGCCCCAAATATATATATGGGGTGAGTGTTTACTTAATTGAATTATTTTTCAGGTTTGGGGATAAATATATATGGGGTGTACAGTTAAGAATCATGTCCATAGCCTTAACCTCCATTCGTCGCTACCACGGTACTGGGCCAAAGCACCCCACAGAGGAAGTATGCCGCGGGCCTGGGGCAAAGTAAGAGGATCGTAGGCGGTGGAGCGTCCTGTTTGATTGATAGTAAACCGCCGTAGTCCCTAACCACGAGTTATGCTCACTTCGGTTAGGGCAAGACAAGAGAAACAAGAAGAGCTCGGACGTCAATACTGCATGATGTAGTTCGAACGTCAACCAGAATGTTTCCATGAAGCTAGTTTGTATTGTCTTGTGTTAAAAACCTTGTGTGTAGTCCTGTCCGAAGCAGTATTGATAGTGCCGGAATTTCCGAAAAAGCAGGCATCGCTGTGGTCGCGGGCAAGTGGGCATTCTGCAAGAGCTCACGTGAGCAACAACTGCCGCAGTCATAGCACCAGCAGCAACAACACATACACGCAGAGAGTCCAGCCCAATGCCGAAACGCATGCGTCCGGCCTCGACCGCTTTGCAGATCTCGGAAATAAAAAGCAACGCCCACACAACACGAATCATCGAAGGTGTCCTCACTTCAAGCAGAAACCCTCAGATCAGACCTTACGTTACACGTGCACCCGCTTACCTCCAGGAGCTCCGCCGTTGCGTCCCCTTCTGGCGCAGGGCTCACCAACGAGGGAAACACCGCTGGTGCTGACGTCGACCAGGAGGACATTAGCTCGTCCTGTTCGGTGAGAGAGCTGGCCCCGCTTGCCTCACCGGCACTCCCGCTGCGCATAGCGAGCAGGGTGTGTGCCGCTTCGACGTCGATCTTGTCAGCGACGGTGTTTCCCCCGCCCCCGCCCCCGCTGCCGTCACCGCCGCCGGTGGTCGCGTCGTTTGGTTGGCCCAGAACAGCAGGGAGGCACAACAGCAAGAGAGAGGTCCCGAGATTAGAAGGGCACGCGAATGATGTGAGTGAATCTACCGCAAGGAGGAGGGCCTATGGCAAACGTGTGCCTCACCATGTGTGCAACGGTTGGGTGAAGACCCCAACATGGGCGTAGCCTTCAAAGGAGAATCGCAAGGGCACAGGACTCAAGAATCAAGACGTGACACACGAGGAATGAGACGAGCAACGGCGCTAAGTGCCGCGAGGGGGTGGCCTATACCTTTGTCGTAGCTCCCTCGTTCTCTGCGTCGCCGGCGATCCCGCTCATGCCGTCGCTGGTGTGGCTCTTGGCCATGTCCAGACTGTTTGTGATTCAGTCGGGCAACGAGGCGCGGGCAGCAATCGTCAGCGGATATGCAGACAATGGTCGACGAAATCATTCTGCGAGCAACCAACCAAGCACCAACCAACAGGTGCTGCACCTGGGTTATCCTCCCGGGGGTCCTCCACAATTCAAACCACGCACAGGAGACAACATCTTACCAACCGAGCGCTCACCTCCCGAAGGGACCACACTGCTCCACTCGAGAACCACCGAAACAATAATACCAACCAGGAGGTTGATGACCATTTTTCCAGGCCAACTCAGATCGGACCGAGGGGGCGTGACAGACAGGTCGATGAGCTCCACCAAAACATGCGAGACAAAGAAACAACAGCAACACGTATGCCAAGTACGCACCACGCCTGTAACAAAGCGTACCTGGCGTCACCGGCGGCGGAGCTGGTGGAGACAGCGCCGCTGCCATCGGTTGAGGCGGCGTCATCGCCAATGGAACCATCCCTACTCAGCTCCTCCTTATACTGCTCAAACTGAGCTCGCTTCGCTTCGGGAGCGCTGGAAGTTGATGGACACCGCAGGTTGAAGAAGATGCAAACGCAATGTATTGGGCCGATGGGACGTCTGGGAACACGAACAACACACTGACAAAACTGGCGCAAAACTCGGAATCATGATAGCCAATCAGAGCTGAAACAACCGTTCGGCGAATTTCGACGTTTTGCTATCACCCCTTGCTGACATCAAATTGACGTAGATTCAACCTAATATCACGCGCAGGACCCACTGACTTCGAGGAGTCTAGTCCCCATAGGGAACGACTGCAGGCAGGACTACATGCTGTACATACCGCACGAGATAGAACACCAAGCATCCATGTTTCGTCCACACCAGAACACGCTCTTCGACAAAATGTGTATGCTCACCTCCCTACCATCGCTCGTATAAAGTCACCGGTCCCCCAGGACCGAATTACCCATTGGTGGCCTGAAGCCGAATCGCCGTCATGTCGGCGTTCGACCTTGTCGGCCATCTCCCTGGCGACGAATGGGTGAAGCAAAGGTTGCGGGAGGAATACGCAGGGTCAGAATGACGATCATTTTAGTCATGCCTGAGCAGATCTAAATACGGCTTGAGCAGATCTAAATACGGCTGCCTACCATACCACTCATCGTTCCGATCAGACTGCCAGGTTACAGCAGTAAACGTGTGCAGTTGTATGGTGAATGGGTCCACTGCATACAATAGGGAACCTGGTGAGCAAAATTGGAGATGGTTTCTAGAGAATGATACACACAACGAACAATCGTCCGGCTGTTTCAACCGCAGCTGTCGATGTCCGGGGAATACCTTGGCGGCAAGTAGCAAGACAGGTTTGGGAGGAATTCCAAACTGCGGTACAGTTTATGCACTGCTTTCGATTCAATTTGGGAATGCTCCCGAGGGACAGTGATCCCTCAACTTCTTGCCCCGGCGTAAACAGCGCACACCGAAACATGAAATACTGAACCCTGTTGCCAAGGCTCGGCATCACAGCCTACGCTCATTCAGAATGGGTCTAGCTACGGCTGCTGCTAGAGGCGGATGTCGCCGTGGGACGCGCACAAACCCCGGAGAATGTCAGATCAGGCGTTGATGCTGGCATTCTCAAGAAGGGGATTTCGACGTAAGGCGGGCCATGGGTCACTTGCCCAACCTTTACAACACTAGAGAACAATTCCGGAGAGGTGGAGATCCTCTCAGCGCTTTGCATTGCGAAAGAGGGCAGGCGTGACCAAGACGAGCACCTACAGGGTCATCTTGTTGATGAGTACGATCCTGAAAATCCTCATAGTTGTCAATAGCGAGTTGGGTGGCATTATCAACTTCACAGTTGAGGGTTTCCGGAGGATCGCAGAATGCGTTGCGAAATCTGGTTGCGTACTGGACACGGCAAGGAATAGGATGTACTTGGAGATAAGAATCTCCCGCTCTCTAGGTGTTAACGAACGCATCTGATCCATTGGTGAGCATGAGCTATATTCGGCGCGGGTGCTGATAGCCTGGTACGTGGTCCATGTAGCACTCCGAGTGGACCAGAGTTAGTTATGGGCGTGAGAGTACAAACACGCACCGACAACGTGGGTGTACCTTGCCGTTGAACCTACAGTAGAAGCGTTAGCGCTGATTTCGGCTTCTACGAACTCCGACGACACCGCCAGCGGGGCAAGCAACTCTCCTAGGGGGCAACGGTCGACATCAAAATCACGGCAATCGCGATCAATACGTATGAATATGGGGGAAACAGATCGACACAGCTAGGAATGCTAGGAATACCCATTTGCTTGGACGTGGAGGCTTGTCTCCGGCCGCAACCTAGCCGTCAACAGGCAACGAATCTACACGACTGTACTGCATTAATTCGATCTACATGCTTTGAGGGAACGTGGAATCCACGCAAATCCGCGCGAATCGCGCGGACGAGAGGTCTTGTTGGTGCTCTCGCAAGCAAGATACGTCACGATGCAACAAATTAAGTTGTCTTCAAGAAAAATTCAACGGGCCCTTCGGCGTTTCTGCCTCCGGAACAGCAACATAGTGAATGGATGCCTGATGCAGCACTTGTTTCCAGTGCAAACACCGATATCGCTTTGACATGTTTCGTTTCGAATTCTCTGGTTGCAACTCTAAAATAGTTTCAACTTCTGGTGGGACGCCTTGTCTCGGCTGTCATTGGGAACGTGACCCGTGGGTCGAACTTGGCTCATTACCGGGAACTGATGGCGCAGCCAACAAATGAATGCAAGCTCATGGGAGATTTCGAGCGAACGCACGCGTGAATACTCCGCTGACCGTCACGTGTAGCCAAACGACCCTCGTTGGCCAATACGAGATGCATCTCCGACATGTCGACAAGTTTAGGTTGACATGATTGGTCCGTGCGAAACATAATCCTAGTGCGTACCTCGAAAAGGGAGAGGGATGATGATTTGTTGTCGCGACACCACCTACCAAGATCTTATAAAAACGTGGAGTCAGTGGTTGGCCGTCAAATCATTTCGGTGGTCCCTCTTGCTCCATAGCGTTCTTCACAGCAAGGCGGATGTATTTGTTCGTCAAGAAATGGATGGAGGTTGTGATCAGTGGTTAGGGGTGAGCAGGCGCCCGGGGTCGCCAAAGATCCGCCATGCGGCTCGGATTAGCAAATCCTGGTTCGGTGAGTGTCCGAACCCACTACAATATCGTGGCGGCGGCCACAGCCATACTCTACTGCGGAATCGGATCGATCGGAGCAGTAGGAACGGCATGAGCGCCGAATCCGGCTACTGATGGCGCGGCTATCGTGCAGCGACCAACAGCTTTGATTACTAGAAATGGCTTCACGCTTTTCGCATGCTGTAGCTCGGGCAGGCGAGGGTGCGATGGAATTGACCGTGGCTTGGATCTGGAGGTGGTCATTTTGCGAAAACGCGAAACCCGGGGAAGATCATGAGGTATGGGAATATATTCCGGGATCAGCACTTTGAATACTCCGGGGGAGAACAGTCCCCTGGACATTCCAACAAACCACACGTACACACACGTACCACGAGGAACGGTGTCCGGGCAATACCCCATCAACGACAAATGCACGCAAGAAACAGGGAATAGACCCTTCCGAACACGTGAGCCCTTCGTCTCCTAATCATAGCTGCTACCACACCCTCCGTCTACAGGAAGGAAATGCCGTAGGTATCGGTGCGATCGCCAAGGAGGGGGGACAACTATTGCTGCTAGGGAAGATCGCCCCTAGAACAGTCGAGAGGTAGAAAAGACGTTTAACGTGCTGTCGTTGACTGAAAACCCCGGGGGTAGTTCCAAGAATTCTACAGTTTTTCGGCGATTTCCGGTGAATATCAAGGTCTTCAGAGCGCTCATAGAAGGGTGAACGAACCAAAACAAAATGCCCACACCCTACGCACCCAACTTCATCATTTCAAGAGTTACAGGGGGGGCGAGGGTACAAAGTGACCGCCCCCGCCAAGAAATGTGCCATACAATATCCCATATACAAAAAGAATAGACTGAACTCAAAAATAAAGGGACACCGTATAATATGGGGGGTTGTTGTGCATCTACGGGCCCCCAGGCCATGTGCGCTCGTGCGGGCTTGTCACGACTGCCCGTTGTACTAAATACGTACCACACCTAGACAACAAGAGGGAGAGCAGGAGGGCACAGGCCTAGCCCAGGCTGTTGCGGCGCAAGGCTACAGACAAAGAGGTTCTCGGCGCACAGTAGAAGTAGACCCGGAGCCCGGAGAGGGCGGTGAGGAAGAGGAAGGGAGAGGTAAACAGGTGTCCGGGAACACATTTCTCGTGCACCCTCCTGCTGATTCCGTTGTTTGCCAAATATCCAATGGTCTCTCGCGTCCACATATCCAGTACCGTTGCAAGTAGGATGAACGGTTGGGTTAGCAGAGATCGATAACGAGGAAAAGGAAAACGTCCTTAGCACATACGTAAGCGCAGCACCTCGCTGGTAATGGCTCGGCGATCAAGTAGCGACCAACAGCTTGACGTTCGCTCGAAAACCACAACACCTCTCGGGTGTCAGATCGGGGCGCGATAACAGACAAAGGGCACATGCCTCTCTGACCAGGCCTGCTGGCATTGCAGTAGGACGGTCTGTACAACGAACAATCGCCACCCTTTCCGCTTCTACTTAGATAAATTCGGTGGTAGACGAAGCGAGTCATTGGAGCAATGCTCGCAGCGAATATCGCCAGTATTACTGCCTTCGGCGTGTTTGGGGGCACTCCTTGCCCTGGTAAACATTTTGTTTCGATTGCAGCTTTCGCTGAGACTCTTCGCCTCGGCTGTCAATGGGAACGTGACCCGTGGGTCGAACTTGGCTCATTACCGGGAACTGATGGCGCAGCCAACAAATGAATGCAAGCTCATGGGAGATTTCGAGCGAATGCACGCGTCAATATTTCGCTGACCGTCACGCGTAGCCAAACGACTTCGTTGGCCAATACGAGATGCATCTCCCAACGTGTCGACATGTTCAGGTTGACATGATCGGTCCGTGCGAAACATGATCCTAGTGCGTACCTCGAAAAGGGAGAGGGATGATGATTTGTTGTCGCGACACCACCTACCAAGATCTTATAAAAACGT